CCATCAAGTACTTCCGCCAGAAAGATTCAACATTTTGAATAATTATAACTCTTATAAAATGTGATTTAAGAGTCCGATTGTCTTCGAATTACACAGATCACAATATTTTTATTCACCCAAGATCTGGTGTGAAGATGGAATGTATCGGTCCACTACTTCTGGCACCACCCCCACAAAGGGTTAAAAATCGGAATATTCATGAAGCCCATAAAACGCACATCTCAATATTTCTATAAGCACAAGATATTTTATAAAGATGGTAGAGATCGAACCATTCCTTCCGGTTGCTCCCCCACAACAGGTCAACATTTTAAATATCCATGAAGCTCATAAAACACGAAATTAGCATCCGATTCTATTCAGACTTAGCACATCTCAATATTTCCATCAACACAAGATCTGTTATAAAGATGGTAGAGATCGGAACATTCCTTCTAATACCTCCCACACAAAGGGTCATAGTTTTGAATAACCAAAACTATCATAAAATCCGAAGTAAGCATCCGGTTCTGATCATATTTCACATATATCAGCATTTTTGATAACAAAAGTTCTGTTATGAAGATGGTAGAAATTGCACCATTTCTTCTGGTACCTCCTCCACAAAAGATCAAAAAATTGAATATCCATGAAGCTCATGAAACCCAAAATTAATATTCAATTCCATTCAGACTTGGAACATCTCAACATTTCCAGCAACACAAGATCTGTTATAAAGATGGTAGATATCGGACCATTTCTTCTGGTACCTTCCCCACATAGATTCAAGATTTTGACAAACCAAACTCTCAAAGAATGCGAAATAAGCTTCCAACTCTCTTCAGATTTCACACATACAAACATTTTTGCTAACACAAAATCTGTTTTTAGTATGATATATGTCTGTGAACCCCATCTGGTACCTCACCCACAAAGGGTCAAAATTTTCAATACTTTTATCTGTCATAGGTTGTGAAACAAGTCAGCGATACTTTATACTTTGCTATGTCTAAATATTTCTCTTAACCAGAAATCTGATATGAATATGTAATTGATAGAAAAATAATTGATTTGCAAAAATTGGATATAAGTATTCGATTTCCCTCAAATTTTTTCCATACCAATATTTTTTGTTGGTATTAGATGAAGTATTAAAATGGAATACTTTGGTCCGCTATATCTGTGACCTCACGCATATTTCCATACTTTCCAAATACATATTTCATGTAAAGTATAGGAAGTAGTCGATATAGTCCAAATCTGGCACGTTGTAATATTTTTATCAGTCTTAGGTCCGATACGAATTGGTCAATATTCGGCAACTTCTTCGGAACCTCCCCCATAATGAGTCAACAGTTTGAATAATCATAACTCAAGGCTGGGGGTATACATCTGTCGGCAAAACCGACTGGTACTAATTACTTCTTTTTTTTGTTTTCAACAAAACAGTGCCACACAACACGCCTTACAATGGACTTATTGAGAGGCGAGGCGAGAATGTAAGACGACATTGAATCAAAATACCCCGGCGAAATGTAGGAAAGAATATGCCAGAATTGAGGTACAGTCGCGGTCAACATTTACATGAAATAATCTTCAAGCATTAAATTATATGGACCGTACGATCGATTCAAATAGAGATTCCATGCAGTTTTCTGAAATTTATGTTTTTTTTTCATAAACTTTCTTATTATTCTTCTTGCAGATGACCAGAGGATTATTTTAAGAGAAGAAATCAATAGATCATGTTCATAAAAATTTCACGTACACTTTTGTCAGCAACTGTTGTAGGCATGTTATAATTGTTTATGAAAGTTGGGAATAGGACGGGCAAAAATTAAATTTCATCCACATGAATTTCATTATCAGCCAGCCATGCCAGCTAGCCAGCCAGCACAACTTGCTTGGTAGTAGGTTTGTTACCATTTTGTTGTTGTTGTTGTTGATTTTTCTTCGTGTTATCTTGCTTTCTATGACTTCATTCTGGTCATAAAAAAAGCCTGATATAAATAAATATTTACATTATGCATCATCAGCTTAGAAAAAAAAAAGAAAATACCACAAGAAATGTTAAACATGTTGATGGTCTTCGTAATGCGGTTTATTGACTGCAATGAAGAAGATTTTTTTGCATTATTAAAAAAAAAAATAATAAATTACTTTATAAGCCGCCTTCAATATGACGGACTGTACGTATGTGTTTTGGTTTCTAATTGTAGCGCTGTGAGAAGAAACGATACGTCTATATGTGTGTTTAAGGGATTTTGATGGGATTGCTGCTGGATTTTATAGGAATTCGTTCGAAGAAATGTATTTTAAGAACAGTTCAAAGAGCCATTTTTTCGTTTTTGTTGAGGGTTTATAAAAATCCATGTCCAAAATAACGATTATTTTGTTATGATTATGGAGCCGGTTTAAGTAAACCCATGGCCACTTGTTGGATAGGTACTTCCATAAGTTATCACATGATAAGTACATTGTCTAATCTTAAAGATTGATTTTCAGTTCAAATTTCCGGATAGCCTTGGTAAAAAGTAATGGAAAAAAATCTTATTTCTCAAAAAAATAAAATAGAAATCAGAGATTTTTTTTAATAAACCCGAGATGCTTCCAATTTTTTAATAACTGTTTCAGTAGAATAGAAATCTTGATCGCTTTTCGAACCCAAATATTCGGGTCAAATATATCATTTGGCTGGTCGTTACCTCATGACTGTTATAGATATATTGTCCCAGTTATCGCAAAAATGTCTAGCGTTAGAACAATTAAAAAAATCGAGTAAAATAGTATCAGTCGGTTTTGCCGACAGATGTATACCCTCACCCAGTCTTGAGTTATGATTATACAAATTGTTGACCCTTCCGAGGCAGTTGAACAATATTGACCAATTCGTATCTGACCTAAAACTGATAAAAAAAATATTATAAAGAGCCAGATTTGGACTATATCGACTACTTCCTGTACCTTTTTTTGAGATATAGGCAAATTTTTGGAAATTTTGGAAATATGCTTGAAGTAACAGATATAGCGGACCGAAGTATTCCATTTTCATACTTCATTCAATACAGATAAAAATAATGGTATGTGCGAAATTTTAAAGAAATCGAACATCTATATCCAGTTTTATGCGAAATCATAAATTTCGATAAATTACATATTCATATCAGATTTCTGGTTAAGGGAGATATTTAGATATAGCAAGTTGTAAAGAATCGCCGACTTGTTTCGCAAGTAATTACAGATGAAAGTATTGAAAATTGTGGCCCTTTGTGGTTGAGGTATCAGAAGGGGTAGATCTTCATAACAGATCTTTCCTTAGCAAATATATTTGGAGATGTGAAATTTGAAGAGAGTCGGATGCTTATTTCGCTTTCTTTGAGCCTTTTGTTTTTCAAAAATCTGGAACCCTATGTGGGGAAGGTACTAATAGGTATTTATAACAGATCTTATGTTTTTGGAAAATATTGAGATGAACCAAGTTTAAATGGAATCGGGTGTTAATTTCGCGTTTTATGAGCTTCATGTATATTCAAAATTATGACCCTTTGTGGGGGAGGTAACAGAAGGAGTGGACAGATATATCCCATCTTAACACCAGACCTCGGGTTAATAAAAATATTGTAATGTGTATAATTTGAAAAGAATCGGATGCTTATTTCGGATTTTATGATCGTTTTGGTTATTCAAAACTTTGACACCTTGTGGGGAGCTACCATAAGGAACGGCCCGATCTCTACCATCTTTATATCACATCTTGTGTTGATGGAAATATTGAGATGTGCCGAGTCTGAATGGAATCGAATGTTAATTTCATTATTTATAAGCTTAATTGATATTCAAAATTATGTCCCTTTGTGATGGAGGTACCAGAAGGAGTGCACCGATATATTCCATCTTCACACAAGACCTTGGGTTAATAAAAATATGGTGGTGTGTGTAATTTGAAGACAATCGGACACTTACATCACATTTTACAAGAGTTATAATTATTTAAAATGTTGACCCTTTGTGGGGGAGGTACTTGACGGAGTGAACTGATATTGTCTATTTTCGCACCTGACCTGCCACTGATACAAATATTAGGATTCACAAAGTTGGAGCAATATCGGACTATCCTTTCTCTTTCTGTGCAGTAAATTATTTTCTTGGAAAATGTTGACATTTTGTTTGGGAGGTACCAGAAGGAATGGACCGATATTGCCCATCTCCGAACTCGATCTAAGTTTGATAATAATATTGCGATGTACCAAGTTTGGATCAAATCGGATACTCCCGTCGAGAATTATCGTGCGCACCAGTCAGCCAGACAAACAGACAGACGGACGGACATCGCCAGATCGACTCCAAATTTCCTGAGACGTAGGGTCTAAAACCGTTATTTCGATGAGGCACGTTTTGATATACCCTCTCAAACTATATGTCTGAGGGCATAAAAATGAGAGATTTCTTAAAAAAAATCTGGGTCGCTCAACATTGTTTAATTACAGGTTCAGCAGAATTGAAATCTTGATCGTTTTTCAAACCCAAATAGTCGGGTCAAATAAATAATATGTCCGGTCGTTCCCTTAAGAAAAAGTCTCAGTTATCGCAAAAATGTGTAGCGTTAGAACAATTAAAAAAAAAACTTCTCTTTGTTTATAGTCCATCGTTGTCATCCCTACTACTACACTGCTATGCATGTCTCTTCATGAATGAATCATACGAGTTGGGGGAAAACACCATACCCATCAACATGGGAACATTGCGACTGAACACACACACGCGCACATACATACAACCATACATGTGATGGGATCACTACGATTGTTTTTCTAAGTACACAAAGCCATTATCAAAAGAACACGAAATTCAAAATAAAAGTAGGTATGTGAAGACGCAACAACAATAAATATCAAGTTCATAAAAGTTAAGTTACAAATGGACACACACACGCATACTATGTGCATTATTATTGTATGTTTGTGTGCAAATGAAAATCAATGAAAACAAAGAAAATTATTCACTGCTTGACTTGACCTTACCCGCTCAAATACATCCTTTATTCTGCGACGATCTTCTGGTTCCTGTGGTGGCATTTCACGCAATGGAATCTCTTCCAGATCCACAGTGTCCTGGCGTGTTGGCGGTGGCCGACTATGTCTTAGCTGTGGATAAAGGCCATTCTCCACGTCTTCTTGTTGACGTTGTATCGACATGATGGTATGCTTTTACTTGTTGTTATTTTGTTGATTTCTTGGCCTCACGACGATACACAAATTTCAATATCACAACAACAAATAATAAGACAAAATGATGAGCCAGAAAACACTTTGTTTTTGTCTTTGCCGGTAACATTCACAGAAAGCCACTTGTTGTAAATTTAATTTTTCTCTTCTTTATTTAAACATTAACTAAATATGTATGAATAAACTTTTCTAATGGCAAGGTTACCTTTTTTCCATTCAATGAAAAATGATAAGATAACATAGAGACGTTGATTGGTTTAATTTATTGTATGATTACTAATGTATAGATTCCGCATTCCATGGTTCTTCGGCACTCGACACTATTTCTTTCTTTTGTTTTTTTTTTTAGTTAGCTTCTGCTACTAAACGAAAGTTTCTTTGTATGATTTTACGAATTTCGACGCGACACATTAAAATTAGCAGGCACCATCCGCGGCCTTTGTCTAATTTTTTTGAACTGAGACTAATGACGATTAGGGTTCTATAGTTCAAGTTAAAATAAAAGTCGAAATAAAATCGTTATCGATTCATTCAGTTGTATTCATGGTAGAAGAATACAGGTAGCCGCATAAACATAGCTGCTGGGACAATGAAGTGTGAAAGTAATTTTGAAATTATAAGTTTTGACTGATTATTTAAATTCGTTAAAATTTTTGTAATCTGCATATCATAACAACCTCCGATTAATGTTGTGTAGGAAAACATATAAAAATCCAGAGCTCAATAAGAAATGTTGCTCAACTTAGAAGAAACAAGGAAAATGCAAGTCTGTACCGGAGTTTTATATACATAAATATATTTTTAAACATTCAACAATTCATTTTGTTTTTTAACTTTTTATCTTACAAAATTACTATGTTGGAAAAACCCCCAAAAATATGAATGAAGTATTGGGTTTTCTCCACTAAATTAAATCCAAATAGAAACAAAAATATTATCCTTTCTTCCCCAAATAATGCAATTTGTTGTCCGATAACGTGAAAAACATGCATTTTTGTTTCATCAAAATTTGAAATAATTTCCAATTATTTTATTTTTAATTCAAAACAATGCACACATATTTAAATTGTGTATATGTTTTGAAAGAATAGGTGCACCCATGGTACAATGAAGAGAAGGTAGGTCAACTTTGAAAAAATTGCAAGTATAGAGGTCTACCTGTTTGGCTTGTAATGTCAGAATTACTATCAAAACAATAAAAAAGCAAACAACTTGTTGCATTGATTTTGAATAAATAATTTAAAACCGCGAAAACTTAATGAATGGTCAAAATTTCTTTTCAATATCATGTTCTATATATCTCTTATAGTTTATTTCGCGACAAAAACTGTAGATTTTGTCGATGCATTCGTTGCAATAAGCATTTTGAAAACACCCGAATTTGAATATTTTCTCAACAATTTTTTATTATTGAAAAGAAGACACACACATAAGCAAATGAAGTTGACATATTAAGCCAGAAAAATAAAAAAATTAAATCATATGGTAGTTCTGCCCTACCTTGAATTCATTGTACCATGAGTGCACCCATGGTACAATGAAGAGAAGGTAGGTCAACTTTGAAAAAATTGCAAGTATAGAGGCCTACCTGTTTGGCTTGTAATGTCAGAATTAGTATCAAAACAATAAAAAATCAAACAACTTGTTGCATTTATTTTAAATAAATAAATAAAATCCGCGACAACTGAATGAAAGGTCAACACTTCTTTTCAAAATCATGTACTATATATCTCTAAAGGATTATTTCGCTACAAAAACTCTAGATTTTGTCGATGCATACGTTGAAATAAACATTTTGAAAACACCCGAATTTGAATGTTTTCTGAACAATTTTATTGTTATTGAAAAGAAAATACATACATAAACAAATAAAGATGACATATTAAGCCAAGAAAATAAAAAAATTAAAATCATATGGTTTCATAGCCCTACGTTGATATCATTGTACCATGAGTGCACCAAAAGAAAAAAATTAAATTTTTTGGGCTACCTTCGGTAATTTCGTCATGGATGCATCTACCTGTATTCTTCTACCATGAAAATTGGCATTTGAAATCGAGTGGTTTTAGTAGTTTAAAGGTGAAAATGTATAAAACGCCTTTTGACTGGCTTAAGTCATCGGCTGGCTTCTTCGGAAAAGAACAAAGGAGCATAGGGACAAAACCAAACTATGTCAACCTAAAACCCCTTTGTTCTTCTACGAAGAAGCCAGCCGTTGCCTTAAAGCCAGTTAGAAAAGCGTCTTATGTATTCTCAACTTAAAACTGCTATCAGACGATAAAGGTGGGAATACATGAAGCGCTTATCTGCCTTAAGTCACCGGCTGGTTTCTTCGAAAATGAACTAAGGAGCCTAGGGCCAAAATCGAACTAAGTCAACCTAAAACTCCGTTGTTCATCTATGAATAAGCCAGTCGATGACTTAAGCTAACCAAATATGCGCTTTATGTATTTCCACCCTTAGGGTTTTTCCATGATAAAATTCAGAAGGTAAAGTAATTTGAATTAAGCATATCCATCTCTGCATTTTCTGTAACTTACCTTGACAAATTTCACTGCATAGAAAACAGGTTCCCATCCCTGATTTATGTATGTACTTTTCACAGTAAAATGTTGTCAACTGAACAGTTTTGAAAAAAATTAAACATATGATTGCATGACTTTACCTTCCTTATTCCACCAAGGGTTTTTCATATGTAGTGTCAAATTTTCTATATGTATAATACATCGTGTGATACATGGCCGACATTTCCGCTTTGAAGTAAATGAGTACAACACATACATACCTTTTCGATCGATTTAATCAAATGTGTTGTTTGTTGGTTGTTTAAATATATATAAAATTAAATTTGCGGCAAAAAGTCATCTATGACATTTGCTCGGAAATACGCACAGATAATAAAAGTGACAGCACATATGTAAAACCCTTATCATCTAATAGCTGATGATTTGCGATGTAATAAATCATAAATCTTGATTTTGGAGAGGAATCTTGACCTTTCATCCAGCTTTCTCGTATTTTGTTTATTTGTTCAATATCAATGCAACAAGTTGTTTTGTTAATTTTATCCAAAACAATTTTTTGTATTTGTTTTGATAGTAATTTTGAAATTACCATGGCACAATAAAATGGTAAGAAACATTGATACGTCAAAAATGTTTTTTTTTTTTTTTTTTCAAAAATTAGTAGATTTTTAAAAGTTTTCTTATGCGACACCAAACGAAAGTTTTTATGATATGCATTTTTCAAAAAATTGTGCAAATTTGAATAATTTTAATTCCAAAATTGGTTTGACAGTTCATTATCCTAGCAGCTGCGTCGATGCGAATACCTGTATTCTTCTACCATGTTTCCAACGCCCGACTTCTTTGTGTACTTTATTGTTTTGAAACACAAAAGCAAAATATTTTCATAATCAATGATTGGAAGAAACGCGCATTGATATTAATCAGCTTAACCCCATTGATGATATTAACCTGTTTGGTCATGGAATTGAAATTACATATTTCATTGAAAATATATATTTTAATATTTAGTTGTGTTCATTCCTGTTGTGTACATTCCACTTGCAAATTCTGGAATAGAGGTATTTTTCATAAATGTTCTCTAAAAAATCATGTCATTGGAACATCCCTTATGCGGATTACGATAACGCAGTTGGACTACCGTAACATGGTAGACTCTGACATTCACTTTGGTATCTGCTCGCGAACAAGCGCTCGGTCACCTTTTCGTCAAAAATTTCTGTTTGTTATGCAGAATATATAGGAAATCTAGACGATATTTGCTATGATTATAAATCAGTGTTCTGACATTTCAAAATATCGATGATGTGAATATGAATCTATGCAAACACAAGTCAAAAACTTCGTACGAGAAAAGATAAATTGTGTCAAATTGTAGATGAAATGTTTTAAGGAATATTGGCGGCGTTGGAGCAACAATGCTATGGCTATGGTATACATTGACTCAAATATGAACCGAGAATGACAAACACAAAGGAGAATTGTGTAAAAATCCCAAATTCAAACATTCACTGTGAATTGATTACACATAATTGTGTATTGCCATTTATGGCGTTGCCAGCCTTCAGACAGTTGTCATAAAAATTTGTTATTGCGTTGGTTGGTTGGGTCGTCGTCGTCGTTTTAATACTCTCGATACTTGAAAGTTTTTCTCGTACTTTTTTTCTATCAATCAATGCGAATTTGTGAACACTTGACTAATTAGACGAGGATTTGAAGTGAAGTGCTTGCAATTAAGTGAAACTCGTGGAATTTCCATTGAAAACCTAAGTTTGACATTGAGGCTACATAAAGTTTTCCAAGAAGAAGGAATAGCAGCAGCCCTTTGTTTTTGTGTATGAAGAAATAAAAGTGGAAAAGAAATAAAAAAGGTGTTATTATTATTGCTTTCGTTGTTGTTGTTGTTTTTATTGTGGTCGGTCGTCGGCGACGTTTGCAGTGCTCGTGGTCGGTGGTGTGTAGTGAGTGAGTGAGCAATGCGTATGTTTTGCCTCAGTTTCAATTTCTTTTACTTGTTTTTATTTTAAAAAATGAAACAAGAAAATTACCATAAATTGCAAATAGTGAGAATAAAAGTGCATTTGATGTAAGAAATCGGGCAAGGAAATTAGTGGAAAATTGTCATTGCAATAGAAGGGAATAAACGTAGTAAATGAAAGAAGGAAAGAAAGAAAGTGAAAAATAAAGAAGAAATCAACAAAAAATATAAATTCTCCTTCAATTGTCACGAAAACTGCTTCTACAATAACAACTGTTATTACTCGCTTGCGCTCTCCCTCTCTCTCAACTGTGTGTGACGACTGACAGCAGGCAAACATTGAATGTAATTAGTACACACAAGTGGGAACAGTTTATGGTTTTGTTAATAAGGTTTTTGCAAACCATTTTACTAAATTAATGGTAAGTATTACAAAAAAAAAAGGAATAAAATATTTTATTTTATAACAATTACGGCATCTTTTCCAATCTAGCGTGAATGATGTGTTCTCTTATTCTGTGAAAGAGTTTGATTTCATGAGACCTGTATTAACAGTGCAAGGGAGAGCATTCACAATAGGTTTTTCTTTTTTTAAAGAACGACAAAAATAAACAAAACAACAGTTTTTTTTTACAGATAATTGAGTGCAGTGTATTAATTTAATTTTTATATATTTTTGTTTTTATTTGTGTGTTGCGAATTTATCAATGTAAATATCAAAGAAATTAAGATTTTTTAACAAGTGATTTTCATCGTTTTCTGCTGTGTCAACGACACACCATTGTGATTGACGTGAATGCCAAATAACGGGGTGGGGCAAAAAATCATCCCTTTTTCATGTCAATTGTGAACAAAGGGTTGTTTGAAAATAATGACCGGCGAATGCAATTCAAGTTGTTAAGTGAAAATAGTGAAGTGTATTTTATAAAAAATGGATTAAAGTTTTTCGAGTGCAATTTTGTAAAAAATAAAAATAATACTAAATAAAATGTAAAAAAGAGTAACAAGTGGTAAGGAAAGGAAATTCACAAAAATAATAATAATTGAAATTAATGAAGTAAGGATAAGTGAAAATCGATGGAATTGTTATTATATATCTTGAAAGTGAATGAGCCTTGATTGTGCGTGAAAGCTAACCAACCTGTTAGCTATTGAAGAAGTAACTTAGTGTGACATTTAGTAGCTAGTCCTGTATAAAATAGAAATATTGTAAAAATAATGTAAGATTGTGCTATTCCCAGTGGAAAAAATCTGGGCTGCTTTTCCTCTTTAAAATTAAACTAGACGACTTTTAGTTTTTTTTTTTTTTAAGTTTTTACTGACTTTTTAGCCATGTTTCGGATTTTATAAATATGGCTTAGCTGCCAATAAAAATCTACATTGCCGAATTTTATGGCGTTAACACTTAAGAGAATTTCTTTCACAAATAATTCATCGGCTGGCATATAATTTAAAAGAATGAAGGAATTCAGGATGACTAGTTTGAATGTTGCGGAATTTTTACACTTTCCGTTGGTTCGTGAAGACATAGGTTTCAATCCCAGCCAGGCTCATATTGAATTTTTTATTAAAAAATTTCCCTTATTAAGGCAAATTTAATTTTGTTGATGGATATTTAGTAACTGCTTCTTTCGAATTGAGGTTTTATGACCTAAGGGGATGGACCTGCTAACTACAGAGTGAGATAAAAAAGCTGAAGCAAAGTCAAACGCCATAATTTTTACATTTTAAATTTTATTGAAAAAAGCAAAAAATCTCGGAAGCAGCATCAAATTTTAGATTACGTTTAGATTTGTTCGAATTAGTCACCTTTGGCACGAATTATGGCCTTCAAACGGCCAATAAAACCGCCACACTCTGCCCGAATGTTGCTCTGCGGTATTTTGGCCCATTCCCGCTTGCTTAAGGTGATCGTCACTTTGGTATTTTTTAGTGCCAATCTTGTTTCCAAAATAGTCCAACGGATTGGTATCCAGATATTTTGGTAGCCATTGGGCGCTGGAAATGAAGCGAGAAACCTCATTTTGTAACCATTCTTGGATAGCGCGTTTATGAGTGCGGAGTTCTGTTGGAATGTCCAAGATCTGCGGCCAAAATGTGTGCGTGCCCAAGGCTTTAATAACCCTCCAGAATATTTTCGCGATAATATTCGGCATTTATTCTGATGCCACAATCGATTAATACGATCGGAGAGCTACCATCGGCTGTTATGGCGGCCCACACCATCACCATGGCCGGCGCTTGAGTTCCTGGTGGCCAACCGAAGGTGCACATTTTCAGCGGACCTCTTTGGCAAGTAAACACGAATAACTTTTTTTCTGGAAAATTTTCACGAAAATGCTTTTGTACGCTTGTAAACAATATTATGAACTGTCATTTTAACAGCTGTCGGACGAGTGGCCCAGAAATGACAGCAGTCTGAAGTTGGTTGCAGTTTTTTCATATAACCCTGAATAGTACGTTTTTTGCAAAACCACCATCAGAACTCAGCAACAGACGACAACTTAAACCTCTATATCAAATTTCAGGATTTCAGTTCTGTACCTTCATCCTGTATCAAATTTAGTACTTTTAGTGCACTCGTAGAACATATTTCCAAAACGACCTCTTTATCAAAAACCTTCCATCAACAGAGACATCAAATCAAATTTCGGGATTCCAGCTCTATTCCTTTACCCAATATCCAATTTAGTGCCACTTCGTTCTTTTCGAACAATTATTGTATACATTTCCAAAAATCACCACAATATCTCAATTCCAGGTAGCATTAGAGACCAGAATTTAAATTTTTAAGAATTCCAACTCTATTCCTTCACCCAATGCCCAATTTAGTGCCACTCAGTACATTTCGAACTATTATAGTACACATTTCCAAAACCACCAACATATCTCATTTCCAGATACCAAGAGACCTCAATACTTTTAGCAGAAATATAGAAGACATTTCCAAACCACCGCCAAATCTCCGACACAGATACCATCAGCAATCTAGATATCACATTTTAGAATTTTATCTCCATCCCTTCACCAAATGCCAGATATAATATCATTAATTATTTTTTGTCAAGATATAGCATAGATTTGAGAAACCACGTTTATATGTTTAGGCTACACATGAACAGCGACCCCAATACCAAAATTTAAGATACCAAGCTCTTTTTGTTAACCCAATACTAAATAGTACCAAACATAGCATTTTTAATAATTTTCGTATAAATATATTACATAGTTCCACAATCACCTTTTTATTACAAATCTACCATGCAATACAAAATTTCGAAATTTCAACTTCATCCGTTCATACTAAACTAAACTTTTAGTTTAGATTAAGCTAGGCAATTAATATAAACTTCTTTGTTTCACTGTTCACATATTTTATCTTTTCATTCTCAAAATTTATGAATTTAACTTCCTTTGCAACCCCTCGTTTTTATTGGTTCTTTTATTTCATTTTTCATTTATATTATTTCGGGCTAATCATTCACAATAACCATACGTTTCCTTCTTCTTTGCATATCTGTCATTTCCCCAATACCAATCTCTCAACACGTAACAGAAGAAACCACTCTCTTCTTTTTGTTTGTTTGATATGCTCTGGCCCATATCCCCCACACGTGAGCGCGCAAGTGTAGTGTTGTCCCTGTTCTCCACATTTAACATGAAAGGTAAACACACATGCACACGCACACAACATACCACTCACTGTGTGCTGCGACTGTGGCTGCTGTCCCCCGTTGTTGTGTGTCTTTCTTGGCGTGCAGAAATAAATGTTGGCGACAAAATAATATACAACGTAAAGAAGAAAACCTGCGAAAAAAACGAGTAAATTGAAAGATATAAAATAAAAATATCGCCATTTCTTCTTGTGTGTTGTGTTTTGGTGGTACTACTGTGAAAAAAAGAAGATATATCTTTGGCTTGTTTCGACTGATTTTTGTTCCGTAAATATTCAACAATTTTTTTTCATTTCTCGTCGGCGAATGCATGGAAGCCAGTCTGCCTTTACGTCTGGTCAAACAATAAAAAACATATTTAAGGTGAGAATAAACGTAGAAAGTGTGTAACCAAAAAGAGAATTTAACAAATAATTTTGGTATCATCAGAGGAATTGCTAAACAAGTTTTTTTTTGTTTTTATTGCTAGCTAATGCAAAAACTGGGCTTTAATATTGGAAAAGATTAGAAATTTTTTAAGGCGTTGATAATTTGCTGTCATTTTTTCGGTTGGCATTGAAATGGGGTTGTAAAAGGATAAAGGAAGTGTGAACAAAGCAAAACAGGAAAAAAGTATTATTTGCTGCACTGAACTTTAAAAGAGGCCACCTCAATGCAAAATAATCCATGTCGTTATTCATAAAGCTTTTTTGTTTTTGTTATTTTTCTTTTTCATACATTTGCTTTTGTGCTACTCTTTCTCAACCCCCCCAAAAAAGACTTGCCAAATGTTTCAGCTTGTTCTCTAATCATTTGAAATTTTTGGGGAATTTCGTGTTGTTGTTTATTTCTGGGAATCGCTGTAATAATGTGCGTGAGAGTGTTCGGATATCAAAAGGAAATGAGGAAGAAAAGGGTTGCCCAATCTTATAGAAATGGTTGGGAAGTTATAAATCACAATTTATATTAGATTTTTTTCTTTGTTTAAAAATCTGTGGTTGTTTTTTGTTGATCTTGTTTTTTCGCCATCTTTCGTAAAATGCAAGTCATTTCAGGGAATGTCAAAAGATAGAAAACGAATTGTCATCAAAACAAAAAAACATATATATTAGAAATATTCATGTGTATATATTGTTTATTTTTTTTGTTTATGAGTGAGTCTTTCGTTGTGTTGGAATAGATCACCCTTTTCTGGCCCCTTTCCTACTTTTCGATATATTTGTTTTTTTTTTTCTTCTCTGTTTTGTTGGCATGTATTCGCAAATACAACGGGCAAATGTGCAAGAAATTGGCATGAGTAGGGTTGCCATATATATTTTAATAAATTTATATATTTCAAAGAGTAGTGCAAAGACTGGTAGACTGAGAAGTAACTCCCAGACGAAACAACTATAGCTAGAATTTTGAAATTTTTTACGAGGATCAGTCTTGGTGCATAGGCGTGTGATAAGGCTGGGTTTTTGGAAATTCGTACTAAAATTGTACGAAAAGTACTAAAATGTACCAGAAAATACTTTATACTGGAAAAACTGAAATAGACTAGAATTCTGAAATTATGAATGAGAGTCACTGATGGAGGGCAGGATAGATGTACCAAAGGGTTTTTGGAAATTCCAACTTTAAGGTTATTTTCCTATTATTCTTTCCGAAAAAATATAGACTTGCCTAACACGTATCTTTGGAACGAAGTAGCGGGCACTTGCTAGTCTAATATAAAAATATAAGTCTAATAAACCCCGAAATATTTTGAACTACTTGAGAATGATTTA